AGGGACAGACTGAGAGAGACACATGGGGCACACTCAGGGACAGACTGAGAGAGACACATGAGACACTATAGGAGAGACATAGGTGGAATCTGAGTGACACACAAGCTATCTCCAAGTCAGAGCAGCTGGAAGTGAGGACAAGACCCACTCAGAGAAATTTGGAATAACCAGAGCAGCAGACTGACAGAGGGGCAGACAAACTGCATGCAGGTGTGAAAGATGAGCCCCTTGGGCTGAAAAACAGACATGATCATTCTACCAGAGACAAAAAACAGGCAAGGAAATAAAAGATACAACCATATGGTACAATGATTTTTTTTCAGTAACAAATGAAAAATGAACATACGTTATTTTTAGAGCACCGGAAAGCCTAAACCCCCAAAATACGTGTGTCTGTGTGCACTGTCCTGTAATATTGCCACAATGACGCTTTGTAGACTGAAGCACTTATCTGTGTGCCACTGTTAAAAATAGATTCATTTAAACATCTCAATTTCCCCGCAAACACTCCAGAGGAAATATGTGTTTCTGTCACTCCCACTCCCTCCTGTAAGATTTCTATTTCGCACACATGTGAAGGACTGTAGGGGCTCTGAAGAAATGGAAACAGATCCCATATGAAACTGATGTCAGGCTGTCAGCTCGGCTTCTACCCCCTGCTCCCCAGGGGACTGTTTACAGAAGAAACTTGGTCCCCATTTTTGCTTTTACTTCTCTTAAATGATTGATTACTATTCCCAAGTTCCTGACAGCTTTGCGGAAATGTTTTTGCTCTCTTTTTCAGCGCACGCTGCTCTTTCAAGTCTTGCTCCGTGCTTTGCTTACTATTCCTGGGAGACACAGCAAGAAGGGGTATCAGCGGGGGCTCTGCCTTGTGGCCTGGTCGACGGCAGGCTGGACGATGGATTTGCCCTGCTGACCTTTAGACTTTTATAGAGCAGGGACTGACCGCCATGATTGGAGTGAAGCACTTTAGCTCCCTCCTAACCCCTGCTCCTCCCTGCTGTAGTGCCCAAGCTCATAACCTTTTAATTGGCTTTCGCATTTGTCCTAGACCACTGGGAAATGAGCTGCGTGTCTCGGGTCTCGGGCTGCTGGCTCCCGCGCTGCAGGGCGCCCCCTACCTGCTCCAGCCGGGACAGCAGGTCCTGGGCGCGGCCGAGGGACTCCCGCTTGGCCCGCAGGGCGGCGGTCAGCACGTCGCACAGGTGGCGCAGCTCATTGCAGCGCTGGCAGATGAGTGCCAGGGCGTAGTGGTGGCTGGCAGCCAGCTGGTGCCCCTGCAGAATGAGGATCTGTGCACGACTCATCTCATGCTGCGGGCAGAGGGAGACACACAGTCAGTCCCCTGGCACCGGTCACCCCACAGAAACAAACACGTCACCGTGGAGCTCCCTGCGTGACAGAGCACCGCAAAAGCGTAGTTTTCCGTGCTGGCCGAGCAGTAAAGGCTTGTGCAGCCGCTGAAGGGTTTCGAAGGACTGCGGACGTGGACGCTGACCTGAGCTTCGGCGTCCAGTGTGTCCAGGTCTCTGACAAACTGCTCAGTCTGGGCCATACTGTCCCCCATGCCTGGGTGCTCTCTCTCCTGGGCCAACAGTTGCTGCAAAGACAGCTCCATCTGCACACGGGACACGGACAGGAGAGACGAAGGACAAACCCCTCTCAGCTCAGCCCAAAGGCAGTGTGAATATTGACAGTGAAAGACAACAATCCCTGCGTGAATCGCTTTGCACTCTGAACTTTTAATCACAGTCATCTAAAGAAACACTGCCTCAATATAGTGCCAAAATAACATTTCTGCTGCAATACTATACCACCCTAAACCTGAGAAACCTGCAGCTTTTCCATTTCTTGATTAACTCTACCAAGTGAAGTTGTGCTGATAAAATGTCCCAATACTGCACAGCAGACGTCCCAGGAAGTTTGTAGCCTGACAGTAACACGGTGCTGGTGCTTCACGAGAGAGGGGTGAAGAGATACTATGCCGTACCTCACGGAAGCTCCTCTCGAACCTGCACAGCTGCAGGTACTGCTGCAGTTTCAGGTGATGCTTCTCGAAAAAGCCATCGAACGCCGTCTCCATGTCGTGCAGCTGGGCCAGGAGCCTGCGGAGTAGCAGCAGAGAGGAGACTCCCTCATCTCCGGGAATGCACTTGGTAACCCGGACTTTAAACAAGCTCAGAGGCAATCCAGAAGCAAGGCAAACACTATCAGTGAAATGTTTCAGTCAGAGCAGTGGGATCAGCAGTCTCTCTCTCGGGCTGGGTATCCCTGAGAATTCACTGGTACCTCTGTACTGTCTCCCAGTCCTGACTTGCATCTCTCTTCTGCTCGGACGCCGCCTCCACTGTCCCAGACGCCTCCAGGCTGGACAACAGCTGGCGCCCTTTCCTCATCACTGTCCTGATGTCCTCCTGCAGAGAGGGAGTTGTGAAGAGAGATGGACCGCAGGGCCGGGCTCAGGCACAGCACAGTGATGAGCTGAAGCACTGAACAGCACAGAACCACGAAAGCATCATCTTAGGCACTGTTTTCACTCTGCTTCGACATATTTGCTTTATCGCGTCTTCCCATAGTTTGTATCCTGCTTTACCACAGGTCCGTGTACTCCACCAGTACACCGGTTTTACCACCATGACTTTTCTAAGGGAGCATAAACCCCACTCTCCCACCAGCATCCTGCTTCTACACAAACAATAAGTGCCCACAGGGAGGCTATGTCGAAAGATGTAGAAAATCCATGGTCTCGCTGTGTGAAACCTTCTTTATTCTTATTAGACTCCTGAAACATTTTGAAATTTCAAATCCTGGTTCTGGCCCAATTGCAATGCTGTGCACCTAAAGGTCTATGCTATAAATTACGTTCTCTATTCTGATTCTTGGCATTTAATTCCAAAGTGGTGTGCTGTGGTCATACCTTCAGCTGCCTGTACTTAGCCGTGTGAGACATCAGGAGGAACTCTGTGGCGGTCACCTCTTTGGGCAGCTCTGTCTCGGCCAGCTCTGTTCCAAAGGCCTGCAGCATCTGGGCGATCTCCTTCACGGTCACCGCAAAACTCTCGATGCCCTGCAGGGGAAGCCACAGAGACAGGAGTTTCACAGGTCCCCTCGGCTGACATCTTCGGCGACTTCTGCAGGCCATCAATCAGGGCTTGGCGGGACTGAAGGGGATTTTTTATATATCCTCCCAGCGCAAAAGGCAGGGGTACAGATTTAAGCTTGGCAGAGGGCTTTTCTATGATAAAAACCTGACATTTAAGGCTCCTAAAATGTAACATAACACAATATACTGAAACTTCGTGATTCCATGGTCTCCTAGCAACTGCAACACGCAGGGACATGGGGGTGAGACTGTAAGCACCAATAGAGGAGGAAACTTATATAATAATAATAATCGTGGGGGCTAAGTAGGCCAGCTTATTAAAGAAGCCATCTGCAGGCAGGAACAGGCCTGTGCATCTCGGACAATAAGCGTGATATTATTGTTGAGCATGTAAAATAGAAAAGATGTGAGGAACCGTGGGGCACAATGAAAAGTATTCATTTCAAGAGGAAAGCAGCATCAGTTGAAGAGCTGTGAGTCGGTGCTGCCCCCTACAGGAGAAGAGCCGCGCGAGAGGTACCGAGCGCAGGAGGATCCAGTCGCTGTGGCAGTACTCCAGTGTGCCGCCTAAGTCCTGGGTCAGCTGGTTCTCGTCGATGTAGTGCAGCAGGTCTGTGACAGAGCTCAGCATCACCACCTGAGAAAGAGAGACAAACAGAGCAACAGGAACGCAGAGGGGGCAAGACACAGGAGACTACCCCAGAGGACAATCACACTTCACTGGCTGGGAGGGGT